CATGCCCCACTAGGAGTTGCCAGAGGTCACCATGACTTCCAGGCGTGGGCACACACACACACACACACACACACACACAAATACAAAATTAAAAATGGTTAGGGACAGTAAACGTCCTCTTTGCCCACCCCTTCCTCTCCCGAGCTTAGGGTTGCCAAGTTCTTTTTCAGCTGCAGCGTGGGACTCCCGGGAGCTCTATGGTTTTCCCTCCGATGGTTGTGGCCCCGCCCCCAGCGTGCCCGGCGTCGTCACGTCACTTCCGGGTGACGTGCACGTCAGGGTGGGGTTCCCCCCGGGGCCTGATCCGCCGGCGGCAGGGAATGGACCTCTGGGGCGGGGGTTTCCCTGCCCCCCGGGGGGACTTGGCAAGCGTACCCGAGCTCAGCAGTGTTCTGCCCAGGAGTCTATTTTCCATGCCAGGGAATATGACGAAAGGATTTTTGAGAATGTGAAGCAAAAACTTCCTCTTTCGGCTGGATGGGTGCAGACTCCTATTTCCCCACCTTACATTCAAGCTAACTGGCAACCATTTTGACTCTGAGCTCATGCTTAAGCAGTCAGGCCCGTAGCTACCACGGGGCCCGGCCTCCTGGTGGCTTGGGGCACCCCTCCCTGGCCCCTGGCCACCCCCCCCCCCATTTGCCTGTCGGCAGGGAGGACAAGGGTGGCACAAGAAGCAGCAGAGACGGTGAGGCTGGGCTGAGAGATGCTTGTCGCCCAACCAGCCAGCAGCAGCTAAGCCCGGCAAGGCAAGGCAAGGAGGCAAGCAGAAGCCTCATCTGGCCCTGGGAAAGCGTGCCCAGCAGTGCTCCTGGGTGCCAATATCCCCACACGCCGCACCTTTGTGGCCAGCCCAGCTACTGCACACCTCGCCTCTCCCAGCCCTGGGAGGAAGCCGAGGGTGGAGATCAGACTGCTCTTGGTGCAGTGACTCAGGAGTGGGCACTGGGGTTACTCAGGGAGGAAGGGAGCCAGACACTGCACAGGGAAGGGCTGCCCTTGCTGGGGGGGGGAAACCTGGTCCCCCCAACCCCCCCCCCCATGGCCCACTCACACACACAAAAAAAACCCTAGCTACCGAGCTGCTTAAGCTGGTTTACTTTATAGGTCTGCCAACACTGGTTCGGGAAATTCCTGGAGATTCAGGGGAAGTGCCTAGAGAGGCACTTCCATTTCTCCTAGACTCAATGGTATATCATAGAGTCTCCCCTCCAATGCAGCCATTCTCTCTAGGGGAGCAGATCTCTGTCATTCAGAGATCAGCAATTCCAGGAGCATTCCAGCCCCCACCTGGTAATTGAATTCTAAAAACAACATATGTGACAAAAATAACGAAGAGTCAATAAGGATATGTTGCAAAAACATTTACTGTAGTAATTCTGTGGAAAACTTTCTTCTGTTATTGCTCAAGCGCAGTGAATATTGCACAATGTAAACAATTCATTTTCACAATACTTGCTTCATCTAAGCGTGTAGCAATCCCAATTCTTATCACTAAAAGGAAGAAGAATCATAATAAACCATTACACTGAAAACTGTCACTTACATTACTACTTATTAACTCTTGAAGGAAACATTCCATGTTGACTCTCTAATAAGAGAACCCCAAGGTCTTCTTCACAATGTATTAGCTGGATTCTTGAAGCCAAACAAAGTCTCCACTGCTAATTACTACCAGCCACGGTCTGCCTATGCAAACAGCATTTAAAGTGCTAGTGTATCCAGGTATGTTTTTTTCTATTTATGAAAACCCAATTGTCAAATGCCATCTGTATTATTACTTTCACATATTAACAGTCTATATAAACATCAACACCTTGTCTATTCAGTGTCAAGACTTAGCAGCCGTGGCTGAACATTATAACCATGTTTAAAGTGACAGGGTGTGATTTTCAAAAGGGACTCTGTGGGAACAGTACCAGACGTGGGGAGATTTACATTCTATGCCAAAATTCTGAACTTACAACTAACATAATACAGGTATGATTATAGAAAACAACTAAGATCACGTTCTGAGTTTAGCCCATGAGGTAGTTGTGAATTCAACCGGTATGTCACTTTAAACATGGATGGGTGTATGAATGGATGGTGTGTGGATAGGTGGATGGGTGTGTGGGTGGATGGGTGGATGAATGGGTGGGTGGGTGGATGGATAGATGGATGGATGGTGTGTGGATGGATGGATGGACAGACGGATGGACGGACAGACAGACAAGTTTGTCTAGATGGCCGTGAATGGCAAGATTGACTTCCCTGACCTTCCATCTTTGTGTTTCATGTCCAGAAGGGATACTTGTTGACACCATCATAAAGAGTTGCATTGCAAAGTACGTCTGCGCCGACTTAAAATCTGGATTACAGAAAGTCATTCAGCAAATTGAAGGAGTTGATGCTGTTATCAAAAAAGCGGAGTGTAGCAAAGCCTTGGTGGAGGCCTACTCGGTGGCCTACTCGGTGGCCTCCTCGGGATCCCTCCTCTTGGCGCTCTCTGGCCTCCTGCTCCTGAAATTACTTTCGTAGTGCCCCCCTGGCAGTGAGGCATCCCCCCCCCCAGGGAAATCCTTCCTTTCCCCCTTCCGTGCAACCTCCTCTCCCTCCTGCTATTGGACTCTGAAGAGGGACTTGCCACCTCCTTCTCTCA